CCATCCATCCATCCATCCATCCTGGTGTCAGGTGACCTCCCACCTGAGTGCCAGTGTGCGACCTAACTTGTTACACAGATGTGGTGAAGTGCACACATCAACTCTGTATTATGTTATTGTTAGTCGACACCCTTCACTGTTTATGAAGAAATGAGTTCTATCAAAGTGCTGACTTCCATGAGTCCTCATTGTGCAGGGATGTTTGAGACCACATAGTGATGAATCAGTCCCACCCCACTTGGGGGCCCCATAGGCTGATGGCATCCCAATGACCCCACATTTCTCCCCAGTGGAGCCCGAAGTGAAGCTTATTGGCAACATTCATGGCAATGAGGTGGCTGGCCGTGAGATGCTCATCTACTTGGCTCAGTACCTGTGCTCCGAGTACTTGTTGGGCAACCCCCGCATCCAGCGTCTACTCAACACCACCCGCATCCACTTGTTGCCCTCCATGAACCCTGATGGCTACGAGGTGGCGGCTGCCGAGGTGAGCCCACCACCTGGATCTGGAGACGGATGGCTTCATTGCGTCCTGGCTCACTTACTAACTGTGTGCTCCCGGCTCCAAGGGGAAGGGGGTGAACAAGACAGGGTCATGGTGACCGCAAAGGTCATGCATGGGGTAGAGAAAAAGAAGGATGAGAAGAGAGTGGGGACCCTGAGTTTGGGGTGCTGTGGGTTTTTCAGGGTGCAGGCTACAACGGGTGGACGAGTGGGAGGCAGAACTCACAGAACCTGGATCTGAATCGCAACTTCCCGGACCTGACCTCCGAGCACTACCGGCTGGCGGGGGTCCGAGGCGCACGCAGTGACCACCTGGCCATCCCCCAGCATTACTGGTGGGGTAAGGTAGGAGCCACCTTCTCCTCCCCCTCACCCCCGCTGGCCTTTCTCTCCCTGACAGTGTCCTAGAGACCTGGGTGTCCACCTTCCCCAGGGCTAAGGTAGAGGGATTGGGGGCTGCCTGGAGGTGGTGGCGTCCCCACGAGGTGGGGAAGGACTCGGTGGGCACAAGTCTTGGAGGAGTCTGGACGTCCCGTGGCCTGATGCGGGTCCCACCCACCCCCACCCCCGCAGGTGGCCCCTGAGACCAAAGCCGTCATGAAGTGGATGAAGGCTATCCCCTTTTCGCTCTCCGCCAGCCTCCACGGGGGCGACCTGGTGGTGTCTTACCCTTTCGATTTCTCCAGGCAGCCCGAGGAGGAGAAGATGTTTTCCCCTACACCCGACGAAAAGGTGAGAGGACGGGCGGGCATCGGAGATAGACTCCCGCCGAGCTCACAGTTCCTGCCGATGGCCAGTCCAGCCCCGGACCCCCTTCTCCAGGAAGCGCTCGATCCCAGGGAGGCAGCCCCGTCCTGCTCTGAGCCCACCTCTACCAGTGTCCCCGGGGTTCTTGGTGGTCGATGCCGGGAGGAGAGTTCCGAGCGTGGCCAGCAGAGGGCAGTGTTGCAGCATGCTGGGCGGCTCCCTGAATCCCTGGCTCGGAGCTTGTTAGAGATGCTCAGGCCAGGCTGTCCCTCTCCAAGCCTGTTTCCCACTTAGGCCAGGACCCCATACTGACACCCCCCAGAGCCTGCACCCCAGATTCCTGCAAGAAAGGACCTCTGGGATGGGCCAGGGGAGGAGGTGTGACTTGCCACAGGCAGTAGCCAGGCAAGGCCGTCTGAATGGGTTCCTGTGGCCACCTGGCCCTCCACTGGGTCTCCACCAGGTACAGTTCGATATGGGCACTGAGTGCTAGGCCTGCCCTGCCTACCTGGGCACCCTCCTTCGATGGTGGTGTCAACATCTGGCTTGCTCACCTTAGCAGGTGGCTAGCTGGGTGACTCTACCAGGTTGGGGGTCCACTCTCAGTGAAGGTGGAGATTGCCAGACCTGGCCAGGGGCTGCCAGACAGTAAGACTGGACGGGTAGGGTGCATGCAGGAGTGTGCCCTAACCTACCGAGACTTAGGGGGCAGCCCAGCCCCTGCTGACGTCACTGTGAGGCTTGAGTGGAACTGGACATTGGAAAGATCTTGGGCAGAGGGGCTGGGGCACTGCAGACAGCCGGTCCCATGTACTGAGACCCTGAGGAGGGTGATAGGATGGCTGGGGGATGTGGGAGGGCCCAGAGAGCTCCCATCAAGAGTTCAGGGGAACCATGGGACCAACACCTCTGTTCACAGCTCCCCTTTCCTGCCTGGCCAGCCTACGGGAGTGCTCACCCATTCCTTTATTCTTCCCTC